AAATAAACTATTTACTGATTTGCAACTAAATCTTTATTTTAAAAAGGCAAGACATTTCCTGTTTACAACTTTATGGAAACAGGATAAAACAGCAGTTTAAGTTATAAAAGGCATTCTCTGAAGGGCCTTCTGGAGTATTATTACTTTAAAATTTTTCATGTGTGTCAAACATTACAAGCACATGATTTATAAAAAAGAGTGAAATACTTTCTGGTCAAGATGGTGGAATATACTGTCCCCAGAATCACTCTCTCCCATAAATCAATCAATCTATAACTAATAAAAAGCAACGACAACCAAACTGAGGCTGCTAGAGCTCAGAGGAAGAGGAAGAGAGACCTACAGAGTTTATGGAGGCAGGAGAAGCCATGATGACAGAAAGAAAGGATCCATCCCACCATTTTGAGCCCAGGCTGCTTTAAGGCTGGCCTAGTGGGCACACGGAGCAAAAGCTGGCAAGAGCCGCAGCTGTGTCCTTCATATAAAGTTGCGGGGAGGCTGTAGGGGAGAAGAGGGCCTTGGTGGCCCCCAGGCCAGCAAGACCACTGACAAGGTTCCCATGGACCCATATAGGTGCAAGGAGCCACAGACAACTGAAAAAAGGAGCCACTCAGAGGGTGGTGAGTCATCGCAAGGGACTGGCGCTCGGCCATCCCATGGGAAGTGTTTGGAGTACGGGCGGTGGGGGAGACGTGCCCACTGGGGGAACACTGGGGCACAGCATGGACAGCTGATCTGCCCTCTAATCACTGCAGGACCACTCAGCGGAGACTGGACAGGAATGTAGAACTGAGGGGGTGCAGTTTGCTGAAAAGACTCAGGCCCAGACCAGAGTTTCCACACAACCCAGGTGTACCAGACCTCATGAGACCTGGAAGTACACACAAGGTCAACCACTAAAACCTGAGCTGCACAAAAAGCCTTCCCTAGGGAATTAGCAACAAAGCAGCAATTTAGCTCAACTACAAGACTCAAGTGATGGTCCCCACAGGAAGTTCTTCCATTTTAGAAGTAAGCAAAGGACAATGAATTAGTTCCAGTGCAGAGTTTAAGTGGTGGGAACAGTGAATAATCCAACACAGAACTGAAAGAAAAAACAAAATACGCATAGACCAGAGACAAATTTGATATTAACTAGTAAAGGTCTAAAGCCACCAAAGAACACCTACAAAACCTAGAAGGACTGGAAGCTCCCTGGGCTCCCAAGCCAGGGAAGGGGGAGGAGGTGGGGGGAGGACCAAGGGCCTCAGCCACACCCCCCAACATCCACAACCAGCTCAGTGATGAACACCGAGCCACTGCAGGAAGTGTCCCAGGCTCCAGAGCCAGGGTGGTGGGGGGCCAAGGGCTTCAGCCACACCCCCTGATGTCTGCATCCAGCCCAGTGATAACCCAGTCACCACTGGAAGTCCCCTGGTCTCCCCTGCCAGAATGACTGGGGGGACCCACAGCCCTCGATCACGCTCGCCCTCCTTCCCCCTCTACCCACCCTATTTCCCCTCCTCCTTTCCTTCTCCTCTCCCACAACTGCCTCACAACAACATCTCAGAATGAGGCATGGAGCTGTGGGAAGCTGAACTCAGCCTCAACCAGGCAAGCTGTTGCCACCGCCCTGGGGTCTGCCAGGGCCCTGAGGCATGGAGCTGGGAAGCCAAATCCAGCCACAACCAGGTAAAGAGCACATGAAAACACAATTTTCACACAGTTTGCCCACCATAGCCACTGCTATTGCCATGGCTGCCGCAAAAGTGGCTTGTCTCTATAGCAGCAGTCACAGCCACCGTGCAGATGGCACGACAGACTCTCAACTGCACTGACACAAGGAGAGGCACCAGCAGAGACAAAAAAAAAAAAAAAAAGAAGAGGTCTCTTTCTCCACAGAGCACACTCCAGAGTAATAGAAGAAGCATCTGATTTACGATAATGGGGGAGGACTTGATCACACCTGTCTCAGTACTGGACAGATCATCTAGGCTACGAACCAACAGAGGGACAGTTAATCTATCAGATGGAGAGAACAATCTATGGTTATTAGAGAGGGGAGGGGGAAGCATAAAGAATAAGTATGATTTGTAACAGTGAATATGCTAATAAAAAAGAGTGAAATATTATGCTTTTCTAGATAAAATAATGAAAATGGAATTAAACACAGAACATTTAAATTGTAGTTTTATTCTATTTAGAAAAGATGATCATTTCCTATTTTACCGACGGCTCTATTTTCCTTATTTTCTCTTCAACTATTTTCCTGGCATCTTTGTGAGGTCTGGAGGGCAAGAGTGACGTTCACATGCCCATTTAGCTGGTGGCCTCCTAGGGACACTTGTATCCCAGGTGTCCAGACCACGTGCTCAATCTCTAGCAGTTGGCACTCCATCTTTGACTAATGTAGACTTCTCAGAGCTTCTGGAAGTTCAGCTTCCTTCCTTGACCTATCAGTTTTCTGAAAACTGATGTACCATGTAGGAGAGGAACAGGGATCTGAAGAGAGCTCTTACCCTATCTCAAAATCAAGCTCTTCTTGATTAAAAATGACACTTTTAACACTGGAGCTCTGACATTGGCGGATTTCATGCCGATATGAAACCACAGCACTATTTATTTAGAGGCTATGAACGGGGACAATATGACTCTGTAGAGGGCATTTTGGAAATGTGCAGGGGTATTTTGGAATGTTTTAACGATCAGAGGGCATTCTTGGTTTCTAGTATGCGGAGAGGGTAGGGATGACAGATGTTCTGCTGTCTGGCAATCTGTAGGACAGTCCTGTTTAAATAACTGTCCCACATCTTGTATGGCAGGACTTTTGAATATCCTCTTGGTCATTCATGTAGGTCAAGATTCTGTTTGTAATTATCTGATCCTAGAACCAATTATTTTACACATATGCACAATATATTTTCCCTACACTATTTTAATATACAATGGACTTTCTAGAACTGCACTGCTATGTAAGTTGGGGGAGATCACATGGGCTTATTCTGAACTCTCCATTTTGGGGAATGAGATCCTGCCAGTTCCACCCCTCACCCACATCAGTCTCCTCTGTAGCTCTCAATCTGTGGTTACTCTGTGAACAGGCCCAAGCCCCTGGTAACTTTATCATGGCTTCTAATACCATCAGTCTTGTGTATTTTCATATTAATATATGTGTTTCTATTATAAAGTATTTTCTTTTGATTAATCTTTTATATTCATATGAAGGCTTTAGTCTTATTATGAAGGTACATATATAAGCAAGTTTTATTATATATCAATTTCATTTCAGAACGGTTAAGAAGCCTTGTAAAATAGGCTATAAAAAGAGAGCATAGAGTTTTACACATCTGAGAACCAGTAACTTCTAATAAAAATGATAAATGAACTTGGGACAACCAATTCTAGATTCCTTATGAGCCTAGCTGGACCAAAACGTGAGCATATATATGTGCAGCTTCTCTCTTGTGAAAGCTGACAGTCCCACCAACCCTGCTGACCTCTAGCGTGATCCTGTTCTTTACGAGGAGTCCAATTTTGAGGTCCATCAGGTTTAGGTCTTTTTCTAGCTGTTGATTGGCCCTGATCTTGGTCACCACTTCTTCCCTCAATCGTGCTACCTCCAGCTCCTCCTGGAAATCCAAGTCACTTTGGTCCAACAGGTGTACAAATTTGCGGATTACTGTTAACGATGGGTTTTCAGAACCAACTGCAGGGAAAGGAATAGGCATACTTTAATTAAGAAAGTTTGGAATTATTATCAACAGAAAAGAGACCAGGTCTTTAATAAAGTATTACCAGAAAAATATACCAATGAAAGTACTTGGTTAGTGGAATGAAAATCACTCTGCCCCGTACAAAATCTGGACAAGGAAACTGATCATATAAATAAATGCACATAAATGATAATGTCTGGCCCCACTATTTGCTAGTTACCTAATCCTCATTTATCACTCTCTCTCATGCTGTTTTCATGACTCATGCACTGAGAAGATTGTACTATCTATTTGTGCCTTATCGATGAGGAAGCTGGGAAAGAAAGTTAACTTCAGCTCTGAGACCTTGTGGCTGAGCCAGATAAGAGATTTATGTTCCTGCTGCAGGAAGCAGAAAGTGGTTTCTCTCAGCCCAAAAGATCTTTGGGAAGGAGCTGCTGGGAACTAGGTGGAAGCTGAAGGGAGGACTGCAACCACATAGGAACCAAGGGAATAAGTAGAAAGAATGTTCTACTTGGCAGAAATAAAAAGATTTTAGAAATTGAAAGTGGGTCCTTGTCCTTTTAGCAATAACCAAGGGAAGGTACTCAGAATGTAGGGGCCTGCCTTAGTTGTTGAGAGTGGTGTTCACTTAAAAATTCTGAAAGGGTTTTCCCTTAATATTTTGAATTTGAGGCTTTAATTTCCTGGCACTCTGACTCTTGAAAAAATATTTTAATGTGTTTAGTGAGATCAACTCTGGGTAAACTGTAACAGTTATCTGTCTAGAACTTCAAAAATGAAAAATTAGACCCAGCAATACAAAGGTGACTTGAAAGAGCTCAGTTCGGCTACGGCAACCTCAGTCACTCTCCTCCTTTACATCTAGGGCCCAATCAGTCTTCCTGTTACTTCCAGCTTCGTTCTGTGGTGTTTTGACACCCAAGGAATAGCAAGAGTTAAACCAACAACACAAACACACACAAGCATGAACCCAGCACGCCCAATCAGTCTTCCTGTTACTTCCAGCTTCGTTCTGTGGTGTTTTGACACCCAAGGAATAACAAGAGTTAAACCAACAACACAAACACACACAAGCATGAACCCAGCATGGATGACCAAATCTGGAGTCATCTATATTACTATTTTGCCAGTTTTGATGGTCTTTACTGT